GGACAGCTCAGTCCCCAGCTAACAATTCTTAGCTCCAGAATGTTCTGGTAACGTTATTTCAGAACGTTCCTAGAATGGACATCCTGACTTTCTCTGTTCATTAGTCAGGAAAGTTTTCTTCATGTAAACAGAATACTCCTTTTAGGTTTGATGTTATAACATTCTCCTAACCTCCAACATTCTATTGCCTGCTATATGTAAATAACCAGTTGTTTTCTTATGCTTTGTGTTCCATAAACATAAGTCGTGGATTTCATTAAACAAAGAGATTAAAATAATTGAATGATTAAAAAAATCTAATAAAATAAACTGTCATTGTAACCTCTGAGCAGCATTTATCATCCACTTGTTGTTACATATTTTGTATATCTCTTTTAAATGTTTGCTATGTAAAGTATTGTCTTCCAGAAATGTCCTTACACACAAATATCTGCTTCATTTCAGAACATCCAGAGGGCTTGCTGTCATCCTGAATGCACAATATATATAGCTGACTGACCTAAGTAACACGAAGACATATTTACAGCTGATTGATCACTCAGTTTTTCCAAAGACAGCATTCAATCTAAAATTCGCTGTGTGTCCAGGCTGTATCGGTCACTCTGTCCTGAAATAGTCACACACTGAGTCTGTGCACTCTCCGGGCACTTAGCTAATGGAGCTGATTGGTATGAATGGGGAGGCTGGTGCAGAGCAGAGCCGCTGCAGAGGTGAATGATGTAATAGGGTTTTTTAATACCCTGCCAACTGAATCGATGACAATCAATCAGGATGAAGAGCTGAACACACATTAGAAGATGCAGGCGTGGTTGCAGCATGACACTGGAGTCTTAACGCAGAGCTGAACATAAAACACGTATGTACAAAGAAAGCAAAACACATTTATTGCATTACTGTATATATAGCAGTAAAGGAGGAATGAAGCCTTCTCTTTATGGTTGTTTAAGAGAAAATAAATAAGGTGAGAGAGACAGAAACAGGTCTCATAGGAAAGAAAAATGACAAATGAGATCTCTATATCTCAAATGTTTCTTCTAGACAGCAGTGAGATTAAATGGAGAGCAATTGGAAATTAAATGAATTTTATAACTCTATACACTTACTGTATGCATTCTATTTTTTTATATCACAAACAGTTTTTCTGTTATCCAATTTTATTTCATTTTTTAAAATACATTTTTAATGTTATAGTTTTATATGGTACTGTATCTTAACAATTGTCTCATTTGTGTCTGTTTTTATATCTCCAAATAATTTTTAGGAGTCAAATCTGAGACAAGATCGATATTTGAATTGAACACAATAGAGAACTCCATTAAGTCTCCTCAGCTATGAAAGCAAACTGTGAGCAATAAACAGTTTTGAAAACACAGGACGTGAACTGAAAAACTGTTACAACAGCGTTCAGATCAATATACATAAAACTACAGCTTCTGATTCATATTCAGCTGGTGTTTGCACATGACGTCCCTTGGACGTCAAAATCTGCCACAAGGTCAAGGGTTCCGGTCTACTTTGTTGCAATCTACTGTCAAATATTCTAGTGAGACATGACAAGAAACACTTAATTAAGGATGTCTGCTGTATCTAGCACACACTGATTTCCTCTCATAAGGTTACACAAACATACACTCATACATGCAGCATAAACAAAGGTTTTGTAGGCCAGATCTGGTCCTCTGGGGAAACCAAACATGTGACGCACTGGAGGTGGACAGAAGCGGAGAAAACAATAGAGAGCAGCCTGACTGACCGACCGACCAGCTGACAATAAATATGCTGAATCAGCTGGTCCTCTGACAGAACACGCGCACAGATGCATTCC